TCTTCTTAACTAAATCGTAGTCTATTGGCATGAACACATACATATCCTGCCGTTGTGTGAATTTTCGATGGCACCGAATTAAAATATACACTCACAGATTTTCTCATTTGATTGACTACCCTTACAATTTGATAGGATTGTTCCCTCAGACTGCCTATCTTACAGCATTTCACAATCGAGTCTGACTTCCAGGTCTTCCTTTACCTACAGGAAATGCAATCGTAAAATCGTATAAATTAACTCACTTCGAATTAAACACGTGCTTATAAAGCTCGTATCTGACAATTAACCGATCTTTGCCCTCCATGAGCATACTATAATAGGTGGCCCGTATTAATTTCTAGTGCAAAGTAACAATGTATAAATGGAGCTGTATTATTTACCACCTTTCGAACTCAGGCGATTCTCTCTAAGGCGTGTTTGGCCTTAGGGATATTTGCTATGGCCTTTCCAAAAAGCCATGCAAGTAATACAAAGAAAATGATTTCAGCCGTGGCAAACGTCGTAGTTGCCAAATATTTTAGCTTCAGACGTACCCGCGAGTTTTGTAAATTTTATTTAACAGCCGTTTGACTCGGTTTTTTTTATAAACTAAAAAAAAAGATATGATCATTTATATCTGCCCTATCATGGCAGTAATTAGCTAGTTTTATCTGATGTAGTCGACAACAGTCATTCATTGAAATGGACGCTTTTTCCAGGTCTAATCACGTCTGCCCTTCAGAAACCTTCATGTACAATCTTTGGGCTAGCGCTGCTCGCTGATCTCGGCACAGCGAACTCTTCTTGCATCAGCTGAAATTCCCACGTGGTGTTACCTTATCCGACAAAGGCCGCAATGCTATCGATTTGACAATATCTAAAACAACAGACAGAAACAACAACAGCAACTGTAATAGCACCTGTGACATTAACGACAATGACCTATCGCCGAAGCAACGAACTTGTTCGTTGTAAAGATCAACAAATGACACCCACGAAAGCGGTAATTCCGAACGACGTCGGCGTAGACTGCAGTCGCTTAGAGTACAAACAGGAGATATGGTCGTTAATCGTCGGATACGCGGAGGCAGAGTATCGTCTTCCCGTGTCCAGCAATAGCTGGCTTTAAATAACGACCCGAAAGCGCCGCTTTGCTTTCTGGAACTCTCGTCAACGACTCATGAGCAGGAGAACCCGTAGGGAGAGGAACGGGTTAAAGTACCTGTGGACGCAGTCTTGCTGTGAAAGTAGCATTACCAATATTTTCTGCTGCTCTTACTGCTGCTGCTAGCCTCAACGCTTGGTGCCGTCGCGCTCACTGTCATAGCATTATTATTAGATTTACTGGGTTTGCGTAGCTGGAATGATGGCGCTGTTCAAAAGAGCTATAGATGATTACCGCTCGTCTGTAAAAGTGAGTTTCTTTGACAGTTTATCAGACTAGTACATTGATATCGGCCAGATTTTTGATGACTTGGACACTCAGAGGATTATACGAGGGTAATAGGCGGGATGAGGTGTAAGTTGTAGCCTATGCGGCTGTGACAATAACGCTCTAGGCAATTCACAATAACTAAATCCTCATACCGTATGTATGTATATGATGTCAAGCATCGAAGAAGGCTATCGACTTAAACAATCAATCGAGTACATGAGCCTCTCTGTCAGCAGGTGTCAAAATCAGGAAGTTGGTTTGGTTGAATATCAACCTTTTCCTCGCAACATAATGCCTGAATAAATACAAAAAGAAAAAACTTAGCAAATCGATTCCGACACTATCACGGGCTTCCTACGACGACAGAAAGTGGACGCATGCATTTTATCGTTACTAAATAAATCTTAAAATATTTAATGAGGCTTAAATCACAAGCGAAATTACATGACTAAACTGACTGTAATCATGTCTTAAATTGAAAACCTATTCCCTCTAATTGGTTTAGTGCGCACATCTTTATTGTCTATTTAATTACCAAATAATACGCCTACTACTGGCCTCTTTATTCATGCTATTAACTAAATTACTTGTACATCCACTAACGAAGGAGAGCAGTCATTCACACATCCGGATCTACTACTTACAAAAAAAAAGTGTCTGTTTATGCCTTAGCGAGGCAATAACAGGATTTGGCCGTACATCGATAAATACCTACTCAGAGAGCATTTTTTGAAAAAATACCGTAGAGAAATTTTATGAATCAGCCCTCGTACTAACTGGTTATCTTCTAGATGTTTTATAAGAAACTGCTGTGCAATAATAATACAACAACTCATGATAAAAAAGCTTTTATTAAGCTTTTGCATACGTTAGTGATAGTGTCCTTGACCGCTAAATACATAGACATGATGGAATTAAATTAGCTTTCACTCTATACAGCTGGCAGCGTCTATTTTTTGCGGGAGTTGTATTAATCTAAACGAAGACCATCTGATAATATAGATCTACTTTTGGTGCTACTTATTTAGTTATAGCATAATCTTAACTATTAGAGCACCGGTGACATTTCGTTATACAATATTCGGCGAAAGCAATCGTGTCAATGCAGGTTAAGGATAATACAAGTCTAATATTAATAATTTAATCTTAATAATTTATCTTAATTTTAAAATTCTTTAATATACAACCATCATGTAGAGCTCCCTGATCAGCATACAGTTGATACAAGCAACAGAATACTTAAAACGTACAAAAAAATGATTTCCTTCACAATATGTCGCATTCGGTGCACGCAACCTTTCCATACAATGCCCGCTCATTCCAAATAGGCTCTGGGGGTCTTCGCAAACAATGTTTGATACAATGATTATTATTTTTGATACAATGTAATTAGTTTTTGTGAACTTTCCTGCCATTCGAAATAATCAGGGACTTTTTTCATTAGACTAATATACACACCACTGACCTGGCCGTTAAGTAAGGCTCCGCCCTATCTACGATATCCAATTGCAGTATTGCAAAGTATTATTTTATATAAAAGTGTGCTTGAAATTGAATGATATGGCACTCAAGCGTATTGTTGTCATGCATGCTATCGTATATGCGGTTACAATGTATAACGGGTAAATAATAACAAAAAAACAAGCTGTTCTCTTACCAAAACAGTCTTCAACTGCTCTATTAAAGGTTTTCAACCTATGTATTTTATACTGACCTAATATGAATCTGATAGGCCAAGAGCGTTGTTAAAGTTATCCAAACTGGAAACAACAGTATAATTATTTATTTGCGTAAATTCAAGGTGAAAGTTCGGCTTACGCCAACCATTTCTGACTCTACAGTACTTAGAAACCGTACTGCGGCATACTTCTAAAATTTTACAGCTGATGGCAAGTACCCGTACAATACACTTTGTAGATACACGTAGATGTAGAAAAACGAATTTTTGCATTGCAATTCCTTCTCACATTGATTACCCTTTACCATTGTCATTTTTCGCCGTTATTTACAGGTACCCCCGCATCAGATATGGCCCGGCGAATATCCCTGCAGCTAAGAAATAAAGTTCACCCTGTTGAATAGACAGATGTCAACGATGCGAACCTGCTCGGCAATATAGGACGAAATACTCAGTATCCCACATATGTAGATTATCTAAAATCGGATTACAGACAATTAGTGCATACAACAACATTTCGGCTCATTGCTCATTTGAACTTAGTAGTAGAACCTTCCGAACTTAGCAGAACATGTATTATCAAAACTTGACTAGCAAAAACCAACCGAATACTAAATACTTCATTAAAAAAAGCTTTGAAGAAAGATGTTGTCATACTGCTTATGGACATGGTCTTATCTTTTAATAGTTTCCGACTTCTATAAATGCCCGTTCACAGCTAATACATGGCTCATTTTCAAGGAAGCGCTCACAGGAGACAAGCATTTACAGGCACATGGCAGCTGTCTATTAGAATTGCAGATATCCGCTCTATGAATGCATTGCACCCACGTACTCGTTATCGATTATACTGTGTTAGTGTTGCATGTAACATTTTGCCACATCTTTATGTTCTACGCCCCCTTGAAAACTTTAGTATATTTGTTTGTTAGACAGGTAGTTTAGCGTCTAACTCTTTTTTTTTTGTTGATTTGATCCTCAGCATTTTTTTATTTACCATAGGATAAATTACTGGGGTACTTTCAGCTAGTTCTATTGATATTGTTTTGCATGACACACGTTATGCTGTTATTTTCACTATGATTTAAGAATTAGGGCTCGATTTGCTATTGTAGCTAGAATTATTGATTCCTTTGTTGTTACATTCAATTTTTTAATAGTAATTTTGGGAATTAATATAATGTTTTTCTCCTTTTTTTCTAATAAATCACATCTGTTCTACTCATATACAGAATACAGAAACAAATGTTCATATCCGTTTAATCTCAATAATCATCAAAGCTCTTAGTCGAAAATATCCTTATCACATACGGCTGACAAACGGCCATCGATTTCAATCATTTTAGTGATTGTCTATACAAATTAGCTGTACTATACGACACGATAATGCGTCAGTCCAAGGTAGGACTGTCATCTTAAAGTGATGAGCTCTCTTATGTGCTTTTTTCGTCAGCATCCTACAACTAGTATTGACTAAAGTAATGCAACGGCACTCGCTCTATACTGCGTTGCCCATTATGGTAATCTCGAACTGACCGTATCAATCATAGTTCAAGCCTGTTTGGTTACCGACCGCTACCGAGCGTTCCTGCCGTTCCGCCAGAGTATCATTCATTAATGATCATTTTACCACGCTAGTATAAACAAGTCATTTAGTATACTGCCGTAAGCCATTTGGTCGTACCAGCTAGTCAGCATGCAAAATACACCACAACACATTACAAACTCTATCGAATAGACTGGAGTTTTCTTAATTAGCCCTCACGGTGCTTAGGTACAGTTATGTTCTAGAATGGTTTGACAGGTTGGTGAACATGAAATGTAGATTGGTGGGGCTCGAACATTCTCTAAACATTTCAAGGCTATTAACTACTGCGTAGGTAAGGGGTCCTGTATACACCTTACCTTTGTAAGCGATACTATGCAAAAGGGTTCCGTCGAATCGCGCCGGCTTCGCAAGCAGGTGACTCGGACAGATAAAAACTTATTGTGCACTCACTGAGTGCTATAGCTGCTGCTGTTGTTGTCAGTTTCCAGACGTTCTTGGCTCACGGACGTATGCAGGGCAGTCACTCATATGTATAAGTCGCCTTGTTTGAGCTGTTCGGCTACCACAAGTATTAGAAAACAAGAGCAGGTGCTAATGGTTTCAGGAGCATCTAGGCCGTTACTAGGAATGGCAATGCACGCACAGAGCTATTAACGACAATGAACTTCAGCCAGCCTTTTCAACACGGTATGAGATTTCGACGCAAATAATGATTTGAAGGTGTCAGTTTTTACATGCGTCAATCAGCTGCGCGTTTATCATATCATTCTCCCATTCTCTGTTAGAATGAATAGAAGAAACGAAGCGAGAATTCATATTAGGTAAGAACTAGCCGGGGCCAATAGAGATATTTGGAGCGATAGCTAAATGACACGCAACCTGATACGACTGCTCTACTAAGTAGGCGAAACTCTCAACACGTAGGTGCGTTAACTCATATAGCTATACGCGAACCGTGAAAGGACACAGCGTAATCCTTGAAACATGGGGTCAGCAGCACCAAAAACAGAAGTGGGCTCTGGACAGCGACTTAAACCCTTTAAAGCTTTTCTTATAAGTTTTCTCTACATGTCACACACATTCCTTACAATCCGACACGGCAACGACACCTGTCCGAAACCGATGCACTGTCACTGTAAATGTTCTCCTAATAAATGACACTAAAATTTCTGGTCGTTTGAAATATTTCCATCCGTGCACTGTACTCGGATCTTCGCTGATACCATCAACTGTCTCACTGCTAGTCTTGTCTATTTAGGCTTTACGATTTCACACGATCGTCTCACAAGGATATTCGGTTGATCCCTGTAGTTCTTCTTACATATTTATATTCTTTCGCCCTACATGTATCCTTTTACTCTACCTCATGGATTCAACGCTCGTATAGTTATACGGAATTATTGAAACGCACAAAATCTATCTTGTGCTCTTTTCGTTCACAGTCGCTCGTTGGCTGGCCAACTCGCTTGTAGTGCTTAACGTTAGCGCCAACGCAACCCTGGGCGCGCTCGTCCGATACACCATTTTTTCTAGCAAGACGGCTGGGTCTGTCTGTAGTTACCCGGACAGAGCGAAGATTTTAAAGAGCTACAACGGTGAGTCGACTTACCGTTATCACACTAGACCGATCGTTCAATCGCGACGTGATTTCCTGTCGTACGAGCTTAATAGAACGCGAGAAAATGCGACACCAGAAGAAAGGCTCTTTTCGCGACACTCCGTCAGCACGATAGCAATAGCAGCGCCAACGGCGGGACAGGCGTTCAATGCCGGTGTCTTCTCTACATAATTAGAAAGTATTATCTGAACAACAACAAGCGCGACAGCGAGAAATGGTTCGTAGTTCTAGTGCAGCTACTATTACTGCTAGCTGTAATTTGCGTGTCTTTCTTCTAACTTCTACTTGGATAGAGGAGACAGGAGAAAATAACGGACACTGCTTTGACGGATCTCCCGCGCGGATCCCCCAGTAATTTCGTGCATGATGCTAACTCTTCTATGAAAGAACATAGGCAGACGGAACCGTCGTTAGCCAATCGATGCCGTAGAATATACTGGCCCCACCACCTCAACTAGAGCGATTAAGGCGGAGCAGTCTGTTTAGCTGGACGTTGCAAGAGCGTCAACACAGTAGCACGCACGCCATCAACTTTCATCCTTGTATTGCCGCTTATGGCCGAGTACAAACGAACCGTTCGCTGGTAGCCATTGCCGCGCTAGCGTATAATGGGGACGGGCAGAAGGCGAACGTAGCATAATACCGAATCAGCTGATCGGAGCGTAGTTCAACTACCCAGTTTTTTTAAGCTTTCTCAATACATAATCAGAAAGTCTCGAAATTCGGCGGCGTTTCACGCAACAGTCTTTCCACGGAAAAGCGTAACGAAAAAAGACGACACATCCCAATGCGAATCCATCGATAACCGGCCATTGTTTACTAGTCCTTTCGAAGTATCGTCCGGGTTCGTTAGACCTGCTCGCCGGACCCCTCGCAGCTGCTCCCTCCATTTGGTGTGTACGCATTGCCTCGTTGCTTGAAGGGTTTCAGCGGCACGGTGGGATATGGTACGCGGTGTTATTCTCGGAAAATCGTATTTCCTGTTTGGCAGCTTACCGTGAGCTAAGGTTCGCCTAACACCTACTACCGACCAATGAGGATTCCTGCAGTTCGTTGCTGAGCCCAGTGACGTATGACAGAGAGGGAAAATGTGCTGATGTTTTGGTCAAGCTGATGTTGATGTCATTGTTGTTGTGGGTATCTGGTCTCTATTGGGGCGAGTTTCTCATTCAACGGCAGTGCTTAGAACAAGCAATTGTCTGTTCCAGCTAAGTGAGGCCCCTGTGTACCGCTGCATTAGTTGTCGAACCTTTCATTCTTTGAGGGCTCTTAGATGTTCTCGAAGAGCTCGAGCTTAATGTGTGGATATCAGCGATATTCAGTCGCCCCTCCTGTAGACGCGGCGTCAAAGATAGGTGCAGTCACTGCTGCTGTGTGTGAACAGCATCAAACCTTTAGACAGATAGCGACAGCAGCGTTTTAGTGGCTGCGGTATAACTTTATATCCACGCCGTTCGTCTATTTAATATACACACATGATTACTGTGTCTATAATAGGAGAGAGGAAATTAAAGATCGCCTTTTTGACCAGCACTTTTGGTCAAGTGTAGAGTGAAACGACGTCTCATTTGTTGTGACGCAGATCCAAACGCTTATTCAAAGACTTAATTGCGTCTGATTTTGTTCAATTTCGACATATACTTAAATATACACACATACAAATATTGAGAATCATTAGAAACAGTCTGTTCGGGTTTTGTGTATAGCGTGCGCATATATGAACGCGATTGGTTGTCACGGTTACATATGCTGTTCGTAAATGTATGTGATGATGCCTAACCGGTGATGTGTTAGACGAAAGTGACACGATATTTTTGAGTAAACAACGATCACGAGTGAAGTGCTATTACTGGGTCATATGTTGGCCAAGTATAGTGAGAGCTCGCGGTGTGTCAGCCACTGATTTCTTTGTGGTTACCTTTATGCATGTCAGTAAACGACATTGCAATACGGGCTGTACAATACGGCTCGAGTGCATCCGGGAAGCTGGGTTGTTTCGGTCACCACTAGGCGTAAGAGACGTGCGACTAAGTTGGGTATCGCGCACACGCCCTATTTAAATATCGATTTTCGCTCGTACGAACAAAAGCAGTTAGAGGCGGTTCGGTGCGGCGCAGTCTGTTTCTTAACGAAGACGCAACTGATGATGATGGCGGTCTCTACGGCGGGCTGGTGCTGTCGCTCACTGCCGTTGTCGAGCTGTCGTCCGCCGCGATGAAGAGGCTTACCAATGAGGGAGGTGGGTCGCCGAGTTCGAAACTGGCCAGAGTTGCTGTGATGGTGAGTCAACAACAAACTTCGCAGACGCAAACGCAGCAACAGCTACAGCAACAGCCTCTCAACAATCAGCCGCAGCAGCAGCAGCAGCATCACCGTAACAACTACCACTACGACGACGAACGGGTAGACGAGCAGCTAACACGACAGCATCAAGGGAGAGGGGGCCAGAATAATAACGACAGTAACAGCACCACTGGCCGATTGCAGCAGAAGAAACTCGAACAGCGCAACGGTGATAATGATAGGCCCCAGCTAGAACAGGACGGGAGCTCAGTACTGAACGACGCGAGTAAGTTGAAGGAACAGGTGGCGCGAGTGCGACGGAAACAGCAAAGAAGTCAACCGAACCATCACGATCACAAACAAACAGTGCTGCAGACAGACCAGGAGCAAGGTGGTAAGTTTCGACTGGAGTCGCCGAAAACAGGAAACGCCTTAAAGCACCGCTTAGAACAACAACAGCAGCAAGTGCAGGGGCAATCGCGAGCACAACAACGAAACCGAAGCTCAACGAGTCAGGACCACAAAGATCAGAAGCTAAATAGTCCGCAAGGAATTCGTGAAAAAACGATTCAGAGCAGAAACAAACAATATCAGCACCAGTCTAATCAACACAATATTCACGTGGCAAGTGTGCACAAGGCACACAATGACGACTGTCATGAGCAAAAACGGCAACATATCAGAAAAGAAAGTAGCGTAAAACACGCGGAAAGTAACCGTTTTGCAGCAGCTTCGAAGACTGCGAAAACAGTGACGAACTGTGCGGTTTTGAAGTTGCCGGCCGATAGAACATCTACTCAAATCTCCTCCCGCATCGCAGCAGCTACAGCAAGCGCTCACAGAAAAACCAGCATGATGCTGCAAGCAAACTGCTCCGCTGTGAAAACCACAATATTATCTGCCGGTGAAGGTGATGATGTGGATGCGGAAAACGGAAGGAACTGCAGCGCCGACAGCAGCAGTCGCGGCAGCACGCCGATGGCAACGTCAGAGGTCATTCTGCAGAGTGGACTGCAGCCTCGACAGACAGCCCAAGGGGGCCAGCAAACAGTCTCTACGCCTGGGTCGACAGCGTCAACGGCAGAGGGGTCAACTGATCGCAGCGGAACTAGCCGTGAGAAAGCGATTCGGATGTTACGCAAGAACGCTTGCGATGACTGGGAGCAGCGCCTCGGTGAAGGCGATGGGGGCAACAGAAAGACAGATGGATTAAGCACCGCTAGTGTCCTTTATCGGGATAGGTTGACACTGTTGCCAATTAACTGCCAAGAGAAGCTCGTAAGTAACAAAAATTAATGGCACATTTATAGGACTAGTCGTATACAGGTAACACTTAACTAGGTGGCGATGGATAATGTTCTTAAGTGGGAGATCCGGCATGTTGGATTCTGTGGGTACGAGTGGAAATTTTGTGTATAAAGCTTCTAAAAAGGTACATATTCTAGTTATCTCAATGTGCGTAGTATTGACGCAAATCGAATGGGGTAGTATTGGATTATGTAACATGTCATTAGGTAAAGTTCGTTTGCTGTATTATTTGAGTAATAGCCGTTTGCCTAATCAAGGAGTAGTTAGCCCTCGACAAGCTGAACCTCAAATAAATTTCAAATTAACATTGAATTAAAAAGTATGCATCTGTACTCAAAAAGGTAAATGCTTTAGTCATTTAGAGAAAAAACATTGGGGGTAACTATTATTATGGACAAATATTATAATATTTCCATATAGGCCGGTGATTTCCGTCTGATTTATTACACATATGTGTCTAAGCCCAGATGGATTAGCGGATATCATCGCGTGCTTTTCTCTATGCAAAGCAGTCACGTCATTTAATAAATTATGTTGATCTAAATTATGTTACATGCCACTTTTTCGAACAATAGTTGCTAGATTTGTCGTTAACGTCGAACTTGTCATTGTTTTCTTTTTTGATAGGTGTTTATTGTAGACAGTAGCACAGAAACGGGTCAGCCATGTGGACAGTTCGTCGACGGCTCACCTGCCTGTATTCTAGATGCGCTCAAGAAAGCCATACGTTTACTAGCCTTACGAAGAACTGGAATGAATCCGTCTGCACAGGTGGGACTGGTAGAATGGGGTCGAACGCCTCGATGGAAATTCTTTCCTCGGTCCATATCGTCGGACCATGCTAGCTTGGATGCAATATTCGATAAACTCCATCCGGCCACTGCCAACGAAGAGTTGTGCGGTAAGATTCTTGTCACAAATACGACCCTACATATAACAGCTTGTAGCTGTAACAAGAAAAAAGAAACTTTCATGAAAGACAACTTGAAGCAGCGAAGATATTAATAAATTTAAAAATGCCGGATTTGCGTTGCCGGACATTTTAAAGCATAACAAAATGTAATGAAAGAATGTATACGTCTTCACAGCTAAAGGGTGTTGATTCAGTCAGGCAATTGTATCGAGACGAGTGAGAATATCACGTTTTAGAGGATAACTTTATGCTTTTTATATTACGGATTCTTCTATTATTTCTCTTTTTGAATAATAAAGGATAGTTTATAGAAAAATAATTCACACAAACGTGCGGGTAAAATTTTGAGTTTTTTATAAGACTTTAATGAGAATTTTGCTGTTCAGTAAAGATTGTCTGAACCTGTTTTCGATACTTTCTAAAACGAGCATTACTAGATGTGTTTCTATAAGAAAAAATAAAATAAAATAGTTGAACACATAGGATCACCATGCAAAGTACTAAACTTAGGCGGTTCTCCAAAAGGATAGCATTACTTTAAAGTTATTCTCTGTGTGTTATGCGTTCACGTATTTGTGCCAATTACACCAAAGTCAATATTCCTAATGTTAAAATAGCAATAGACAAGGATTATTTTCTTCCCATACGTATTAAGAACATATGGACGTGCAACATACATTATGTTATAGCTATAGTATTTGTTACTTCAGAAGCTTATGTATATACGTCTGTGATTTTGTAGTAAACATTATCTATAATAATTTTGTGTTTGTCCCTGTTTTCGTGTGATCTCATCCGTTTTCAGATTTCAACTACGTTCTTCAGAGCATGTAAGTTGGTAAATTTCTGTTACACGCATAGGTTCAATCGGTATCGGTGCGAGCAATTAACATTGGGTTATTTTATTTGATTGGTACTATATTATATCCCTGTTGTAAACATGCCCTTGTAGTTCTCTGATCATTGAGCAGTTGAGCATCGAGAACTGAAAAAACCATTGACATTTTTATTAGACTTAAAGGGTTCTTTCTGTAGAATGCATTTTACATAGTGATTTAGCATATATACCCATTCCAAATAGAATCATTATGATTATCGATTCTAAGAAGCTCTCACAGTTGTTCATGGCATAAATATCTAGTTTGATGCTGTCGTTTTTATTGTTATCGTCATACAGCAAAGAGCGAACTGGCCTTTCAATGATGTGGAACAAAACATGCCCATCATTTGTTGTTCGAGCCATTGTTTTCTATTGTCGATCGACACCACCTTCATGGTCGGTTTCCGAAACGTCGACGTCACATCGTTCCACGGTGGTTGAAAACACCTCCCATAGTGGACCCCTTATGACCTCCGATTCTGGCGACCGAGTTCAAAGACTCGTGGATCTTAAATATCATCCATTATTTACGTTGGATGCCGTCTTTATGCTACCAAAGGCTTCTTGTTTGAAGCATGAACCGCAAATCGTTTCGGTGGAAGATCACTCTGAGCGAGCAAGGACTGCTCAGGCTCTAGAGAAAGGCGATCAGATTATTCATGGAGACGGCACTCCGATGCAAGATTGCGAAGTTGAACAAGCGCAAGAGGTGGTAGGAGACACTGAACAGAAGAAGGCAGAAGTGCCTGAAGTGCAAGCACTAGAACAGGACCAGCCACCACAGAAACAAGACCAGCCTTCGGATGATGTAGCCGTGGAAGAAGATCAGGCAGCAGAGAACAATAAGAAAAATCTTCGTATCGAAGCTGTGCAGCAAGCTCAGGTTAGTTACCTAGCGATATATATGGTTATGTGTAGAGTAGCTTCCAAAAATAATAGACCACGTTGTTATTTTATACAACTTGACTAAATAGAGTAGAACGTAGTTAATTAAAACAAAACGCATGTTTTTCAAATAACCATTCATTATACACAACAATTCTGTAAAAGAATTAATCGACGCGAATATATGCTTACGATCGACGATACAATAAAACATATTGATTTCAAAGCTTTTAAATTTAATTTTTTGCTAACCAAAGTTTAGATTCTAACATTCATTTAGATTGATACAATGATTCAACTTACTACAATATATACGCAAACCTTTCGTACAAAGAACCAGGCTATTTTTCAGCAGGATGTTTTGTTGTCATCTATATATATATATGTAATATATTATTGGATATGAAGATGACAGTTAGTTGGTAAAGGGATCTACGCGCTGCTCTTCCGCAGGATAAAACGCTGCGACTAACACCAAAGAAGTGACCGAAATGCCTAAAAGCGAAAACCCCATTATTTTCTCCAAACTTATATTCAATCCATTATTTTCACACACACTTAATTACGGGACATTGAAAACAGTCGACAAAAGTACCTTCGTTAGATAAGTGCAAAGAAATCACGACAGGCAATCGCTTGGTCTTGGTAGTCTCAGCCTATGTGTAAGTATTTAATTGTGGACTGGATAGTAGACGGACGAGGAGACAGACTCAGCGATACATTAGTCAGGTGGCGTAGCGAAGTACATCGGGCCACAAATCCCTACAGTACAAGTATTTAAAGAGGCAGAAGAGTCCAAAAAATGCATGTCCACGAATAAAATCCCTCATGGACCACGTTTTTATCGGTCGAACGGATTCATGAAGCCGCAAGCAACCAGTCAAAATTTAATCAGTGCTTTCGTATATATATAAAATTTTCTACCTAGAACTTGAATAGCATGATGCTTAATATTACTAATAGTGCCGCGTGTTTACCTGAAAAATCCTCTTCAATGCTTTTCAGGGTGTCTTCGATTGGGTGCATTCGCTGTGCACTCCATCATCGTATATCCTTCCGTGTGCACCATCACCTCTTCAGATTCTTCAACAATGTTGTCGCTTGCTAGGCCATCCGCTGCAAAGGCCGCCCCAACATCTCGCCCATCATCACTTGCGGCCTGTTCAGACGTCCAACCAATCTGAGAAGCCCGAATCTGCGAGCCAGCAGCATCATACACCGCTCCCTTCCAGACATAGCCAGATGATAGGTGGTGATCGCGACTCCTCGACCGAAAGTAGCAGCACACTTTCACGGCCGGACGATGAGTCGATGCTAGTTGACCTTACGTGATGCGACGTTAAGGTCTCATATCGGCAACAGTACGCAGCACCGGTTAATGGCGATTGCCAAAAATTCACAGGGAAGTTAGGTACATAATAAATGTCTGTAGTTAGAAAAACGGGCCAAAAAGCGGCTCAAAAATTGGCAGGGTAAGAGCTATATGTCGTCTGTAAACGAGCGTATTCGTAGGTGAGAAGTAAAAATGACCTTGAGGAAGTGGGGAGAGTTAGAGAATCAAGAAAGCTAAAAATGACGATTTGTTAGGTTACAGGTAAATGTATTTTTGCGTTTTGTGAGCCATCGTATTTCAAGAATCCATTTTCCTTGTAACCTATAAACACGTGCATAAAAAACGCGGACAAGTAAACATACAACCAAACGTACATGTGGTAGGCATGTACATATAAATAAGAAACAGTGCTGATTAGAAGCATGTAATGGGTGGATGAATATATGAGCTATAATCGTATTAAAAATGGCGGGTACATTTATTCCCGCGTAAGGAAAATAACAGCATGTACACTGAGTTTGTGCTTCTGGCAAAATTCACTGTTAATCAGAAATTTTTAATGGCGAATTTACAGAAATGCGGAAATTGTTTTATGTTAGACGAAGCGTCACGTGAGGTCAAAAGAGTTAAATGTTCTTTAGTTGCCTCTAGTGCACACAGCCAAATTATTATTATTACTATTAACGCTAACATCAATAGTGCGGATATTAACAAAAACAAAGCTTCAATTAAGCCACAGGTGATCACCGATGACTTTACTGGGTGCAAATAACGCAAAGTGTTGAGCTCCCGAAATTTCTTAAGCAGTAAACAGTCGCTTGGGTAAATGCACAAAACGATATTAATACAATTTGTTATCGCTTGTGGGTCAGCGTGTAACTGTCCCACCGTGTCAATTGCATCTAACTATTAAGCATAAAGGAGCAAGAATGAAGAAAACCTTATTTCCAGTAGATGTTTTAATATGACCGATCCAAGTCATGCATTAAAAGTATAGTAGGTTTTTGCAACAGTTCTATGTAACGATAGAATCAATTGAAAAGCATATCTGTCTTCTTCGCGGTTTCGTTTGTCTATGTACAACTAGAAAACGTAACAAAATTATGTCTGTAAGCAAAGCATGCTTGTTGTACAGCCCCAAGAAACAGCAAACAAAAACTAGTAATTCGTAGTGACGATCAAGAAATCACGTTTCTTACTTTTTGTATATAGTACGTACAATTGTAAGATTCGACATTAAAACAAAAAAGCTATAACATAACTAGCTTGATAAAAACTCGCGCTATCGTTGAATTTCTATTTCGTTGCCTATTTTAGTATCGTACCTAAATGCACACCTACACACATACACATACACTATACACATACACAGACGTACATACACACACCCACACACATACACTAGTTGATTTATTATAATTTAGTATTTACAGCAATAATTGAACAACTTCGGTACACCTCCTGCGACCTCCTCGGCCATCAAATTCCACAAACAACGCCACATGACTGATAGTTTTACGTCTGTGTGTGACGAACTGCACAGGCGAATAGAGTGAACGAAACAAAGGGGATGGGGAGAGAAAAAAAATACACACTCTGCTGAAGCATATTTGCATTCATGATAAAAATGCTGTTGAACGGCGATTTATTCATGGGGAATCAGTTGAGAATGAAGGAAACGGTATATTAGAAAACATTTTTCGAGATCAGAAAACCCAGAAATGTAGACAGAGGCAGACAGGAAAAAGGTGGTCAGAAGGAAGAATGGGTGTATTTGTATGTTGCTTCCTATGTCAGTGTGTAAAAGTGAAAGATACGATATCGTGAACAGACGCGTGGGGAGAACGAACACAGTGAGGAGACATAATGATAATTGACTGATTGATACTGATGAATGAACAGATGAATTGTGATAATGAAATTTACTATTATTTGCATAGATCTGCATTGGATTGATTGGTTGATCGATTCATAGGTTGGGTTCTTATTAGCGAGGGAGGGGTGATCCTGTGCTTGTGCAATGTGTATATCAATACATATATTGAAAAAAATAATGGTGAATAAATATAATAGGCACTGTTCTGTACACTGACTTGAATTTTTACTAAGCTATAATAATACAGGGTTAGACTAACAGCGAATGTAGGCTGATATTGGTAGTGGTGGGAAATAATTATTATTTACTAAGCTGCAATAAATACAGGGTTAGACTAACAGCAAATATAGACTGACCACTACCAATTAGTGGTGGAAATAATTATTACAAGAAATTCGTCGTAGATATGGTGATAATGTCTATCATGTCGTTGAAAAAAGAATATTAAGCAACATCAAAGAAATTTCAATGAAAATAAAAATTGCTAGGTAATAACGACCATGAAATTAGCTTGGGGTTAGGCTATGCAGGGTATACGAAGTAATACGGCGAAATCATTCTCACATGGATAACAAAAATGTTACGCCACATCGGCTTCAAAAAGCAGTTCGGAGAGTCTGGCATTATCTCGTTTGTTCCAAATATTTACGGCTTGAAGTTATTCCTTGAACGTAAGGATCCTATTTTTGAAATGTGAAGGACCAAATTCTCACGAGATTGACGCCAGATGAAACTTTGTGAGAGCTTTGAAATTTTGAAATTGCAAAAAACACACGCATCAAATATTTTTGCAAATGATCTCCAAAAATAGTTTATTAACAATAATTGCACAAAAATGTTTTCTTCCACCGATTCTGTCGGCGGGCTTCATTCTTTGTCTTTTTCATTCATAACGTGCGCGAGTTTACCAACGAGTTCATATATCATATAATAATAATAAATGTGCCGCGTATAATAACGGTTCTCTCGTATCGCACAATAGGAGCTAGCGCCACGGCCTTTTATGGTCGTCTTATTCTCTCTGTTAAGGTTACTTCTACTAATAATATACAGTTTATGTTTATAACAAATAGACGTAGATATTTGCTCTTGATTGGAAATGACATTTGGCTAATGGCAGTTATCGTGTGCTATTCATAACACGAAGTACCTAATAATGGTGATTTCGCGTAGATTTGAAATATCCTATGCACAGTTTGGGTATTTTTAGTCAGTCACAAAGAATACAACATATGTTACAACAAGCCGTTGTCTCACTTGCGAGTACGCTAACAGATGCGCAGCATCACGTGCCGTCTTTGATCGGAATCACCCAACGTCTGGTTTCATCGGGTTGAGGCAGTAGTTTCCCTTCAAAGCAATTCGGTAACCCCTCCAAATGCGTATCTTCTTTAGCGTTTTTGTCTGATGAGAGTATCACCCTACACTGTGACCCGTGTGGTTTAGTCGATAAGCTGTGTCAAACAGAGCATATCCGTGGACGAGCTGTCTTATATTCAAGCAGCTACTCCTTAGCTGGTAGTAGTAATTAACCCATGCTATATTTTGGCATGTATTGTATGTTCTGTCATATCGTTTTTCTTGACAAGGGAGGATAACAAAAGGTAAAAATTAATTTTTAAATCCAAGTAATTAAGAGTACTGCCGACGATCTTTCTTTCTCGTAACTTTTCTTCGACTCCTGAATGTGTGGAAGCTAAATTTCCTCCTTCTTTCTATTTTTTTTTCAGAGTTAATAGCATGTGTTCAGTATCATACAAACATGTATATGAAGGATGTATAGCAAAATATGCACATCATTGAACGAGTGCTATGCACATCAACAACGTCTGCCAAAAACGAGATGGTGTTGAATGAGATTCTTATGCTCGTTCTATAGGTGCTAATAATCACGACAGATATCACCATTTTAGCGGGCAGTGGCACTATGCATGAAACCGCCCACACACTTAAGGTTTTACGACGGCCAAAAATATTCACTCAAGTACTCATTGCAACTCTTTTCTTGTATAGTTGTCGGTAAAAATGTTTGCCATAGCAAGCATCTTTACCTATATATAAACATGTTCTTGCTGGGTTTAATCAAGCAAGCTTTATACCAATTCAAGTGTTACAGTAATCTTACATAATTGCCCTTCCCTATAAGAGATTTTGTAAGGGAAACTTTCGTGTTGTTCCATCGAAAATTATAACATTTCGTATAATATTTAGTTATATAAAGCTCTTAGGTAACTGTTTTTTTCTGTTGCACCTTAACGGCAGCTAAAAAAAACTGACTTGAATAGAATAATAAGCCTATACAAGATATCTAATTGTGGCCTAGTAGGAAGCCGCCGCATCTTGTAAACTATGGATGTGGCGAAACATTTTCAAAGCTGGACCCAGCTTTAAACCGAGGATGCTCAGAACATCGGTACGCTGGAGAAGTAGTAAAGAAGCTCCATCAATTTCCTAAAACATCAAACAAAAATTAGCTAAATAGGTTTATTCACTCGCGTATTTTTTGGCAGAACATTGATGTCCTTGTGCTGTAATAGCAGCCCGTATTTCCTAAGGTCAAAATTGCACATTGCCTCTTGTAACCATAATGTTTATGTGAAAACTTGGATGTATACGCAAAGTATTTCCAGTACCCAACTAAAACACAAAAACATCCCCTTAAACACACGTTTTATATACTTGCTACCTTTATGAACAACTGAGTAGGAACTCTTTCCTAAAATCGCTAACCACAAATATAATATTTAATTTAAACATACCTGCTCAACGAAGACCTTCGCTTCATTTACATATCCTATGTCAGAAAAGAAGTCAGCCACCTTTACAGCACTCCATGCTGACACGTCTGGATAGTCAATCGCAAATTGTGCCAAAGTCCCCGTATTTATAGGTTTGTCGGTGTCTGATCCTATCGATGAGTGAGGTGAGCCAATCGAAGGAGTTACAGTCCGCAACGGTAAGGGTGTGGTCATAGAGGTAGCATGATCTCCTATATCGTTGCTGTTGATATCAAAGTAAACTGGCAGACTTACGAAAGATTTTTCGCTCTTCCCAAGCGAACTACCAGCTACCGGTGAGATACTTGGGGTAAAGGCGTGTAGGTTTTCAGAAACAATAGGAGGTTGATCAGCACACCGAAGATTGTTATTGAACCTGTGAAATCGTGACCGGTAAATTTAAAAATTGAAACCGCACTACAGATTAAAAGAATAAAACTGATTTAATATTCAACCATATATATTATTTAAGCTTTTGGACTGACAATATACCAAAAGGAAGTGTTTAATGAGTCAATGGAGATATTAAACGAAAAACTTCATGTTCAGTGGTTTCTTTTCTATGATTATAAAATACATTGACACTGTCCGCTTCAGTATTCAGATATTTCTATACATATATTGTGTCCTTAGAAACATTATTAGAAAAATGAGCATACATCAAACTAAAGAATATAAATTCGTCGTTTCTTCCCAAGCTAGTAGGCCTAATAGCTTACCTAAGTGAGTCGGGCAGGGGAACTTCGGTTTTGATGGTGCAAGTCGATTCACTGCTTTCAGAAACAGCTTGCTGCCATGGCGCATCCCGATCAACCTGATCCTCGTCGACCTTACTCGTTTTGTTGTTATTGTTATCTATGCTACCGGCCACCTTTTTGTTGATGCTGCCTGGCGATGGTAGCATGCTTTCCAGTAGTTTCTTTCGCAACTCAGAGTCCTTATCGTTAACGAAAACCTTTTTCAAACCCACGCTTTGCTTTTTGCCACTACACTTCTCTGTCTTCAGAGACGACGCGACCTCACATTTACCGTTATCGTTATTATTACTGTCCATGCAACCATTAATGCCAAATTTTTCACTGGTTCTATCTATTGTTGGCACTTGAACGTTATCCTGAATATCCATGGCACTTGAGCAGGTGTCACAATTTTGCCGATTGATCTGAGCTGAGCGGATACCTTGGGTTGACCTGGTGTTTATGTCACTCGTCTGCAAAAGTGAGCCATCACTATCGGTTTTCAAATCTCGAGGTTTCGAATCTCGTCGCTGTTTCTCCCGTTCTAACTTCAAATTGGCCTTGATAGCTGAAGATGACATTTCGTTGGTAACCGCCTCCGTTTCCGCTGCTGTGGGAAATATACTTTCTGTAACAAATTATTGAAACGACTTATTACAAAACAAGTAGTGGTCAAAGGTCGCCACATTAAAATTGTTCGTTACATAACTAGGACCTCAAATCTACTTACACACACCTAATATTATTATAGCTCATTGGCATAATGGCGACTGAAAGTAAATGGTGTCAAAACATGAGAGCCAACTATATTTTACGTTTATTTCCCTCCACGGTTTTTCATATATAGATATATACTTTTGTTCATATAAAAACTGCAGTCTCCTCTCTGTGTTCTAGGTTAATGTTGTTTCCAGTGTAAATAAAAAGTTAACCTTTTGCTCGATGTCTTTTGTTCATCTCATACGTGCATCTTCTACACATCCAAGGCGTTCCTTTGGGTTTGCTGTTTAGTGCTGGCCGGATGCAGTTGAGATGAAACACCGAGTAACAATGAGAACAATATACAACGTCGTTTCCTTCGATGATTTTCGTTAGCGAATTGGCTGAATCATTCAGACCTTGAATTGTTTCGAGGGCGATATGGCAGTATTTGCATGGCTTACAGCGAAGACAGAAAAACTGTTTGTTTGCAGAAATCTTCAGGATTGATCGCTCGGTTAACTGCAGACAAGAAGCGTGAACTAAAAAATGTACACGAACACTGTAGCATAGTAAGAGCAGAGAAAATAGTCATCATTATCACAGTATTCACGGAATTCAGTAATGCAATGAGTTTGTCTCAATCTCTATTAAAATGAAATTTAACATTTGATTCAATTAAAGTATGACAAAACTAGTTTAAACTAACAGACGGGACCACCAGGGGCCAATTTCCTCCACAACTTTTGTTGAATTCAGGTTTGTTGAGTCATAATGCTATCACCAGCAGCCAAATTGCTAAACAATTTCTCACCGTAAACTTTGCAGGCAGAGCACTGCAGCAGGTGTCGGTCATGGTCTTTATTTTGACAGATAGCGCACGTACTGAGTTGTAGCTTGCAGTCGATGTGTAAAATGTCTGTCTGAAAATCAGGCCCATGGGACTTTTTTATGCGCTTACGGCCGCTTACTCGGGCCATGTCGTTTGTAGATGCATTGCGTTTCAAGTTGGAAAGTGCCTTGGTCTCTTCGAAACTCTTAATTTCGCTCTTCTCAGCTGATCTCTTTTTCTCTGATTTATGACGCTCTTGCGGCGAATCTGAATCAGAGCTTGTGCCCACCGCCGAACTTAGTTGCGTTAAACCTTTGAGACGATCTTCGATGGTCACTTGATCTGAAACCGTACGTCCGCACGTGTCCTGCAAGAAACGAAATGGAAATTATTGGTTTTAATAAGTGATGGTAGGGGGATGATGGAATGCTTATAAAAAGATTCATCGATAGTGCAGTGTTCAGACATATTTGCCTTGCGTAACCGGCTTTATCTAAGCAATCATTTGTAAAATTTATTGCATACAAATAGTCATGCATTATTTCCGCAGTTCAACCGATATAACCATTCCAACATATTTTTAGAGAACATTATATTTCATGGACATAAGGAAATGTTGGATACATGGTGCGTAAAAATAGGAACCTCGCCGATGGTTAACTCTGCACCAGATCCGTTCTTGACGGGTTGAGAATCCTCCTCAGTGTCCGAGCTGTATGAACCGGCGTTATCGCATGATCCGTGTTCGTCGAGCTTCCCGCTATGGCGCGCAGTCATTTGGGCCGTCTGGCGATAGCTTATACGCCCTGCGACAAACGGACGTTACACTTAAACTTCTTCTAAATGATGTTCCGAAATGGGATTAGAAAAAATACACCTGTATTTTTCTAGACCTACTTATATTTTTTGCTTTGTTTCATCGTGTATGGATGCAATCAGGACAACTCGCTTGTTTTTTTAAGATCCTATAGAACTGATTTTAAATTTGAAGTGAATGAGACTTTGAAAATCGCGAATCATATAGATTATTATTAAATACTCGCTAAAATTTAAATGACTATGCTAAGTATAGTTATTGATGCGTCTCTGGCTTACTTTACTGGTTTAGCAAATAAATTATTTTAGTGAACTAATTTTGAAAAAAATTACTTTGATAATGCTAGGACAACTGACCTTTGAATTTGTAACGGTAAATTTTGTTTTGGATCTCCAACTGCTCGAGGGTATGTTCAAGGCCGTCTTTTGTAATTAGACATTTTTTTTTAATGAGGATGCCCAAGATATTGTCCACATCCGGGCGACATTTTCGGGCCCGAAGGTTTTCTATTGCCTCATCTATTAAATTCCAAAAGTCCATTATGATGAAGAGCTGACACTGCAAATCGGCAGTCGATTTTTTGATGATTAAAAAAAAATATATATGATATGGCAGGCGGAAAAAGATATTCCAATCCTACGTAAATAGACATTTTTACGGTCACACATTAATGCTCATAGACTCACTGAAGCTCAAATGCTCACAGACTAAATTACTAAGGCTGAAATGTATACACATACACACCTTGTCTGTGGCTGCGCCGATTAAGAACTATAAAAGTCAGCGGAACAAACGCGGTGCACGCTTAATAAAGAGATCTACTCCGAATAGATGTCATTGAAGCAGCGGTATGTGATGCGAAACACCCGGAACCTGGATGACATTGCAGTAATTCCTACTCGCTTAGAACAGCTCATGTTCTTAGTACATCCCAATAATCTGAGGTTGGTGTGGCTAATAGCAACGGCAAGACAACACGCGTGGATTATCGGAATACTGCTAGTTGGCAAGCAGCAATGAATTTGCTTAGATGGTCTTTAACCGTCGCTTTACTGTTCTCACACTGTGAAAAACTCTGATCCATTTCTCAGTTAGGTGTTTTCTTTTATGTTGAAAAACCTGCCATGAATAGTAATAATCTGCGTACCCATCTATACATAAACATACGTAAAAGACGCTGCTAGTGATCTACAAAAGGGGCAATTTTAAATGCGCACTCATTGTTCACTCATTATATTCTGGAAAAAGTTAATCGGCGCTGCAATTATTATGTTCTTCTAACTTTGTAGTGCTTATTACACTGTGCAAAAACACATGCGACTGTATCAGTCGAGCGAGTGATGCAATAACCTGATTGAAAGGTTGATGCACAAAGTGTATCAATCACAAAGTGTTTTAGTAATGCTTTGCGGCAAAATGTATCTCACGACAACAATCGTTATTATTCAAGCGAAATAAACCCGCTATTGATTTCAACAAAAGAAATGTAAATATCCCTAAATATTTTCCCAGATGCAGACACAACTTGTAGTTGTAAAAGCTTTAGCGAAATAAAATTGGAGAAGCTATATCTTACTGGCCGCTTCTAATAAATGAAACATCCGCTAACTTTCGAAAGCTGAAACGGTTTTGTATCAATAGTGTCCCTACAGTCTGTGATTGCCCACGACCTATCATGTCCCAAGAGTTCCTTGCAGCGACCTTCGCAGTTTATTGAAGTTCACATTACGTCGCAATCGTAAAATATTCACTACACTTCCGCAAAAGAATTTTTCTAATGCATTACCGCATTTTGCAAAGCAAGAGTAACCGAACTAATAAACTGATCTAGATTGATAGACAATTATGGCGTTGACAATATCCATATAATGCCACCTACTTTTTACTAACCTAAAAAAGCTTAAAACTATCATAGAAAGTTGTTCTGGCTCACAAATGATTGAGGTAAGGTACAGTGAGCCCCTTTTTCGACAAACACAAACCGCGCAAATCCATTTGACAGAGATGTCTGTGTATCTAACAGGTGTGCGAAGCTACAGGTTTGCTGTGAGTCACAGAATCATCTATGCTATTAACAAATATACAATCTTATACGAAATAGTGATGCTTTAACCTTAAAGATACAGAAGGTATTATATATTAGGACGAAAACAATGACTACATCATGGCAACGGCCGCAGTGTTATGATTATTGATGCACTGGGTACCTTAATCAAGCCCCGGAGGACATGGAAGTTCAAGCTGACAAAAAGATGAACACGCACTTAACTCTTTGAAATCGTTAAGTCTTTATACGTTTATATTACACACAGCTCTTTGGTCCACCACACAGCGAGAGCTCCACAGTACAACTGACTCACACGTTTACTAAAGACGGCGATTCTTATGGCAATTATAGCAGAACCAGCACTCGCCGCCTGTTTATAATTTCGAGTACTAAGGCCGTCGCACCGGGCGCGCTCAACTAGTTCAGCACTGTCCAGGGAGTTCGCTAATTTTAATATTTCGATTTAGCTCTCGTGTGCAAGTTACAAGCAGCAAATAAAAACGCAGAAACTGAAGTAGGTTGAGTCAGTATGCGAGACATTAGTTGATCGGCAAGAATTCGGGACTTAGAACGCAGATAAAATCTTTCTAATTTCGTTAAACGGGTATTAGACTCCAAACAGTAGTGGAAGCTGTCCTTCTCAGCCGGTACAGTCAGCTGTTTATGAAGTGGAGAATCGAATCAATGCAAAACACCTTGCATACATACCTATTACGATAAATATTTATAGAGTTTTCGTCAACGGAGCTATTTCCGTAAATATAGCTAACACATCATTTAAGAATGTACGGGTCTAGTGTACGGGTGCGAACACGGGCGCACTGAATCGCCAATTATCAACAATCGCCACGCGTCTGACTTGCATGAGTTCCAATGCCTGCACTGAATCAGTTTGGCATTCCGCCCGTGAGAAACTAATCACGGCATGTTGAAGGTGACAGTTAACAGGAAAGCACACGACGTCGGCTGAACTAGCCTACATAGAATTGGGGATTCGGTTTCCAAAAGAATGAGCAACGAATCTGCTAGAGGATTGTCATAGATCGCTCCGCGTTGAACCGCGAAAATATGAACTGTTTGGAGGAAGATAAACTGTGTTAGGCCAGCCGATTGATACAGACCAAAGGCGGATGCGTTTGAGTACAAAACATGTCTAAATTCGAGATTGGGCAAATACGCTTTGTAGTAGCCCGGCGTGCGAAGCAGTTTCGGCAGAATCGAACGTAAAACGTGAAATATTTAATCATTACTGTAAGGCTATGTCGAAGCGTTTTCTCAATCGAATAATTTCGTTCTTTTTATTAACATATTTAGACATGCGGGCCTTGATTTCCTGAAAAGCTTCGACGTATGAAATGCATCTTTACTTTTGGTAAAAATTTGAAATTTTGTCCCCATATAATAACTAAAGTATGGAACAGCAAAATTAGGAACGGTCGCAACCGGATTCCGCATGATTGTAAACAAGTTACCACAAACACGTTAGACTGTAGCTATTCTAATTGAAGTTTCATATGTATCTCACTTGGCTATACAATAACCGAGTTGTCGAAAGATTTATTTCTCTTAAGGAACAATGGACTGTGATTTTACTGAATATATTTCGTTTTTGAGTCTTCATTTGAATTCGTAAAAGTGATGAAGCGATTTACAAAGTTAAGACATAGAAGAAAAAAGTTTGGCATGCCAACTGTATCATCTTTTACGTAGTATACGGCTAGTATTTCTGAAATCGTAATTCAAACAATTAGAGTAGACAATTGGCTATCGTGCTAGCCTATTGTCAAAAATCTGTGCAAATGAGTGTATAAACCAAATTATGCTCTGCGATAATGTGACTCGCTTTTCTTATATTGTGGCAATGTATATCTAACGAGCGATCGAAATCCGTTACCTAAAATACACAAAAAAATTTACTCAACCTAAATCCAGCTCATCGATGCAATACTAGAGTTTGCGGTATTTGACATACTCTGTCATTTGAAAATATTTATAAATACGCCGCAGAGACAATCTCCTTCGAACCGTGTCGGTAATTGTCAGTGTATAGCGCTGTGAATATCTAACAAAAAGTGATAGCATAGTGCGGTGGACACTAGTAGCGGGCTTTATCACAAAGCGCATGTCGATCAATAAGAATATAACCATTTATGTCTGATATACACATTATTTTTTTAAAGTACACTGGTTTACGCGATATCTAAAGTAAGCAAAGAGTTTCCTTATGAATGAAGAGTTCTCATTTTCTTATACCTACTGTATATATATATACATATATATATATATATATATATGTAGTAAATGGCTGTCAAGTAACTTCTCTGACTAAAGTTTACAGATTGAGTTAAATTCGTCGCATTGAACACCTAACTGCCTACTGCTTTTCGCAAAGCAAGTAACAGGCCATAAGCGAAATCGCTTGTTTGCAGAAAACGTGTTGTGAGCAGGAAGGATACCTTCCTTCAAATTGTCAAACGACATTTGACCTTGTGTATCAAGATTTTATTTGATTGATATTTTCAACGATTTTTTTAAAGGAAACTGAGTTTCATCGTTTTGTATATACATATATATATATAAACAGCCTGCTTAACATTTTAGGCGTTTGTATTAATTTCGTGACTTGTACTTGGCCACCATATATGGCACAGTAACCTGGAAAGGAAAAGCATTTACGCAGTATCTGTCAATAGGTATAATGCATAAATTGCTCTCATTTTTTCTAAGTAAATGACATTCCAGAGCCGCCTTTTGACCTGTGGTATTTGATTGTTCTCTGCGTTTAAACACTATCACTTGGTTCGAGATAATCTTTGCTTAATAACATTCCAAAATAATGTTAAACTGAGAATCATATTCGTTATTCAGAACTATCTGTTACGTTCTGATTTTTATAATTAGGTACATAGTTTAGTGGATACCATACCCCCTGATGATATACGCTCTGGCCCTATCACTCATGCATCACGCAGGTCCAGCAGCTTTTCTAGAGGGTATCATAAAAGAAAAGACGAAGTCACAACAGAGCGAAGATGAAAAGTTGAGAGGAAGAATTCGACAGCTTCTGAGATCACAGAAAAGTGAACGAACAACTCTATAACTATCCTCTCATTCCCGTTGCACGATTTTATTGTAAGAGAAGAAACAGCTTTCCGGTTTTTAATAGCAGCCAGCCTAAGAAGACAGGAGTTTGGTTGACGCGGTGTTTAATGCAAAAGGCGAGTTTCATATTTAGATGTTACAAGTGTACAGTTTGGAAGGATAGCATTAGATGTGCCAAGGATACCTCGTTAGAATTAATCCAAAAGCTCCAGAAACCGTTACAACAAATGCAACTAGGTTCCTAGTTTATATCTAATTTACAAACATACGAATTTACTGGTACGATGGTGGTTTTATAGAATTGCTGCAACAGTAACTTACATTACGGTTACAGGAGTAACGTTACGATCGTTATTGGCAATGGCAGAAATATAAATGGGACCATTTTATTTAAACCCGCAAACATCTCACATTGTTGCAAGATTTTTTGCTGCATCAGGATTGCGCGCGGGACTGTAATCGAATTTCAATAAAAGTCATATATGAGGGCCGCCATCTTGTCGCCATGCAATACTGCCGAGTAGACATTGACGAGCGGAGTTTGAGAGTTTAACTAACTTTGTTTTTAACTGCTTGCAAACTTCGGTTGAAAGAGCGAGACATGGGACTCTGAAACAACTTCTAATAATAGTGAACTAAGTTTAAAACAGGTTTAATACTGCCAAATAATAGTGCTCCCAAGGCGGCCGACCATTCCCTAGTTCTACGGGCCCCATAGAGGGCCTTTAGGAAAATCGTACCCATATCTGCTAATAACAAGCCGCTGACATTCTCTGTCGCGTCAGAGTGTTGAATTGATATTTTGAGCGTTGATACCTGTTGCGCTATTGTAATTGCGTTATGCTTATTAGAATTCAGCAATTTCTGCGATCTTTATTGTGTGTTATTAGCGTGCATGGTGTTCCACGTTAGGGATAGTAAACAGGCCTTAATGAAACCTCGAACATATTTTTACCTCTTTAAGTTTTCGCGTGATAGATGAAAAACGGCCTGCCAGTAATGCAATTTTCATTAAACGCCATCCCGGGATGAAATATTCAGTTTCATTTAGAAGACCCAGCATGTGAAACTGGTGGCGCGATTGTCGGCACAACTTCAAATTTTCGCGCCTACCACCAATGCGATATACGACCTCCTCCAGCAGGCCGACACCACTCTTTGCTGTACAGTGCTCATGTTTCTCTCTCCCAGCATTGGTGCGTGCAGTTTTTTTCACAAAGCTATTTTCATGCAGCGTGCCCCTTCTTCTAAAGCTGTATTCTGATATATCGTTGATTATTGATAGAATTCGGTGACTGTCCAACGATTGTTTCTTCTACTGTGCCATATATCACTACCAAGCCATTCGCTATCCAACGGCTTGCGATTAGCTGGACTCCGCAGCAGCAGCATTAACCCAACGACGTGTTTGATTACAACTGTGAGCAAAGCAGCTTATTTTGCAAGCTCACATGATCAACGTGACAATTTTTAACAGCATGACAATGTAAGCATCAGTTGCTATTTCGTGTTTCGCTAAATTCGTTGTAACCCATATGATAGCACAGCTGAGCGTGAGCGAGCGTTCGGCGATTTACGGTAGGCGGCCGATACGGCTCTGTAACAATACTTTGTGCTCTTAAAGCTTACTATGCAATGGCGTTTGTTTTAATCTAGCCTGATAGCTAAGCAGCTGATACCGAATAAATTCATCGTTCTCTGAGCAAGTTCTTCGTGTGGCAGAGTTCGAGAACCAAGTTCGCGACCTTTAGATCTAGTTCGCCGCGCGCGGTGACGCGGCCTTTGTACTCTCGCGGATTGTAGTGAGGCAGTGTGAGAAGAGCCCGTGTGAGCTTTGGTTGCTAAACTTAACCGGTGCGGTTTTGCGAACTTATCACCAACGCGGTGGTTGTTATACGTGTCGTCTGGGAGCAGCTTGGCCAGTGGTGATCAGCTGTGGGGCCCGAGTCCATCGAGAAGACCCGGTAAGTGCTTGTTGGAGCTCTGATATTAGCCGGGGGCCGGTTCTCCGTTATCCTCTCTCCCGTTTAACATTGTGATGACCAGCCGTGCGCTGCGGCCGCTGCTGCTACGGCTGCGGCCGCCGATGAAAGACACATGGGGGTTCGTTATACCGGTGTCAATGTCGTGCTTTGCGTAACCGTCTTAGCGTTAAACAAACGCTAGGGGGCTATCGAACCATAAAGTGCTCCTCAGTCGTTAAAAAAGGGCAAGACCATAGTCTTTGTAAGCGCTACGTTGGAGCCATTGTGTCGCTGCTAACCTGTGGCGACTATGTGTGATCACCCCCGCAGGCGGGTCGGTCTATCTGGCTGACGAGCGCGTGTCCTCGACTGGTCTCTTTAACCAGTACGCAACCCGTACTTATAAGGTGTTAGCGGGTCGTAACACGGAACGACCTCCATACACGCCCGCAACGCAGCTATTCTGTAGTTAGAAGCGCCCTCAAAGTGGCGCCTGCGGTTAGTCTGATTGCTTCAATAAGTAAATATACTATAGTGCTGTTCTACTCTGTACGGCGACGAGCCATGTTGGCTACCAGAGAGTCGATCCACCATTCGCCAATAGTGAACCCAGTGCCAGTAAAGTTGCTCGGCGGCAAATTGAGGCAGTTAGGCAAAAGGCCACTGGATCAAACGCTTAACCGACGTAACAAGCAATAATAGGCAAAAAAAAAAGGATATACTTCCGTGTGGACCGGCGACCGTCAACGCACTCTGAAATTTCGTCAATGGCTGTGTATGGCACGCGCTACAACTTCTAGGTAGATATATGAATCTTGCAGTACTACTTGTGGATGTTTCGCATTAGAACAGGCTAAAGGGCAGGCTGACTGACACGCAGCGTGCATCTGCGTTTTCCATGTGGACTACTTGTACCATGTATATGCTACTGCCACTGCTATGGCCTAATGTGTCCTGGATCCTCCATAGACTTGGATCAGTTATGCGTGCGGACTGTTGTCGCTACTGGCTTTAACGATGTTGCTATGACTTGGATTGCTTGTTAGGTGTTTTTCGCTCAGGTGTGTTCGGTAGCACTTAGGAAATATTTCACAATACAGGCAGTTTAACGCGCGGACAATATCGGCTTGTTGCAGATGTTCGTTCGTTTTTGATTCTGCTTTTAATCAGCGCATAATGGAACGCTAATGAGAAAATAAGCTACTACCTTTGCAGCAATAATTACAAGAAAGGCTTGTTGCGTGGACAAATGGTCGGCAAAAAACGTTCAGTCTCTATTGCATGAAGCGTATACTATAGACACACTATAGGTGAAATATATTTGAATACATACGGAAGAGTGCGTAGCATAATCTATTTGTAACAGATAACAGACAGTCGCTTTCGTTCAATGTATTAAGGAGGTGTACACGTATTTGTGGTGGCAAAGTGTACAAAACTGTGTTAGATGGTCCATTGCCATTTCAACAAGGAGAACTTGAAGTTTGTTGATGTACCTTATCATACATGCTAATCATTAAGGAACGCATTGTCTAACATGTTTTCGTATGTCTGAAAACGGCTGGGAATCACATTTTCATTACGCGATGTGTCGCGGTTAGGCGCGCGGCGCGCTTACGTTCGGTCTTATGTGTGCTGCGCTTAGACACTGCAATTAGCTACTATACGTGATACGTTCCTGTAAAATTAAATTCACTTTTCTGTTGAATTCCTATTAAAATGATTGCCGATTAAACCATAAATCGGTGTGTAAACCTTACTAGCGATTTTTGTACACATATCTAATCGCTACTATACGGTTTTCATAAGTGAGCGTCAAAAAGTTGCGTGTTAATTAATTAACGTGTTCCTATCTAAGATTGTTCACAACGCTTACATTACTTACTAGAATCTTATAATTTGCAAATATTCAGTGAGATTGTATTGTCTTGATACGACTTCCTGAGTTGACTATGACTTGCATAGCATAAATTTTTTTGTTCTTTTTTATGTATATGCACGTTACACAGGGCACCATGGAGTATTGGGATGTCATCAACGAGGCTATCGTTCGCCTGCGTGGTCGTAAGAATCGGCCAGATGTAGACAACATCCTCGGCGTACTGAATAAGAAGAAGCCCACGATCTCGAAGAACGTCCTCGAAAACGCTCTTAACCATTTAGAGAAACACAACAAACTTTATCGCGTTTATTATAAAGGTGAGTCCTTAGACTTTAATACGTCCCACTGCTGTTTGATTTGATTTGAAATAATTATTGCAATTTATTGACATTATTTTAATAAATTTCCATCTGTTTAAATTTATCTATCTGTTGATATCAAATATATTAACTGCTACCACTGTTATTAATTGATGTAATACATCAATCACTTTCTACTGAATGAAAGTAGATGTATCATGATAATGTTAGTTACCCTTCGACCTTAATTGCTGACGCTTATTAACGAGTGGCGAGAACATAGCTTTCTTATTTTACAAGCACGCAATACTTTGAGAGCCTGATTGGTACTTAAAGTTGTTGATTATTTATTGTTATCAGTATTCTTATTATTAATTGATTTCTACCGATTTGCGCTGGCTAACGTGTAGGGTGACTAAATCCAAAAGGGTCATACTTTAAGTAAGCCACGGTGTGACTGGCTAAGGCAACAAAGAGTATCGATTTGGTCAGGGAACATGCTGCTGTGCGTACCTATATCGCCCCATTTTTTTTTTTCTAGTAAGCAAGTGAACCGTAAGCTTTAATCGAGTAAACACGTTATCAGATTTTCCTAAATAGACATTACGGTATAGAATGAATATATTCAAAGAAAACTATCACGAGCTGGATGTTAGCTGACCCTTAGAAAAAAAAAACAGTTGGAAAGATAGCAGTTTAGTATGAACATTTTTTCCGATCACGTGTATTGACCTTCTCTGATTAGGATACAATGGAAATTAATTCCGTATGGCTACTTATTCCTGTCATCAGCTTTGTTTTTAATTATTGTGTTTACATATTTTTAAAATTACGTGCCGACCATGCAGGACATACGAGCTATCGTCAAACAGCGTTCAAAAACAGCGGTTGCGAGGTTGATGAAAAACAAGTCAATCAGAACGGATCCTTCAGCTCTGACACCGAGGAAGACACAGACGGTAAAAGCGAAGCTTTTGGCAGGCCGCTAGCAGACGAGGTAATTACCTTATGTTTTCCAGACGATATTAAGTTTTCCTCAAATGCATATGTATTGTAATGTAAAGAACAGCATGTCTGCGTAGTATAAATACTAGGTATTTAGACTTAACCGACTCGTGAGATGTTTTGATACGTCTAAGCAATGCGCGCCAGGTACGATAAATACGTTGAAAACGTTCTATTTTCCTTTTTCGTTCGAGGCGTCTTTTTCTATATTATTATATCTCTATGGCTATTGTATTACCTTAAGCTCTTGATTTTTTGTCAAAACACGAAAGAAAATGTTTTATATTACTATTTCGAAGAAAAACGTAGATATTTTTTTAGCTAGGTGACTCTAAAGTATCCAGCAACATGAGCTGCTTTAATGAGCAACATGAGCAACATTTAAAAGCTATGGTCCGGCAGTATTAGAGATTGTTGGCAGACTCTAGTAGAACGTCTTGCAAATAAGTAACATTTCCTATTAGAATAAAGGCAGATGCTGCCTGGGATCACAGAAGACATGTGCTGTCTCTGGTCAAAATGTATTATAGGAAAAACCGCCTAAAGATGGTTTTGTCGCTTTCGTTTTAAAAGTTTTGACATGAAAGGTACTACTCATAGTGGTCGACTACTTATGGAAAAGTCGACAAAGTTGTCGAGACAGTTAGTAGCCAATAGTAGTAGATATGCTATCGCCAAGAAGCTGAATACACACCACCAAACAGTTTTAGACCATCTGAAGAAAACTGGTTACAAAAATATATATACTCAAAGTATTTAAAAAAGTAAATATAAACACTGGGAGCTATTTACAAGAAGCGATTGGTCACGCATGATATAAATTAGATTATATACGACGAAGATGTGCAAATAAGAATAATAACAAAATAAAAAAGGATAAAAGAAGCCAGTTTCACAATCTGTGGCAAAGTTCAGGCTGATGTTAATGAAAATGATGTTATGTGTTTAGTGGAAATTGAAAAGACTCGCGTATTATGAACGGCTGTCGCCTGGCAAGAGAATTAATTTGGTCCTCTACAGTCAACGACCAAGAAGATCTCAACAAGGTATTGAAAAAAATCGACCGAAACTAGTGAGCAAAAAAAGCGTTCTCTTCCAGTATGCTAATGCCAAACTATAAGCATCTTTAACTACCCGGTAGAAATGGAGAAAGTTTGAGTGGGCAAGGCTATGGGTCAAAATGGCGCATATTCAATCAGTAATATGATTCGAATATCTTTGATTTGATTTTGGCTTAAAAACGATCAGTACTTTTTGATAGCCCGTTATAAATGTATGGGTAATGTGTAAAATTCTGAATGGCGTCTCCAATTTTTTCGCATTGACATGCAGTTTTTGTCAATTTCGAGGTATCCAAAACGAATTGCTCGTGCATCTTATACCAACGCTCTAAGTTTAGTAGGCGAACGAGTTGTCACTGCACCGTCACGGGGCGGTTACACGGACACTGCAAGTAATTCGCTTCTGCTAAGTAATAACGATGTTTGAAAATAGAAACAGAAAGCAAGTTCTTATTCTTAGTGATGAGTGTTGTTAAAATATCTGGCGCGTGTATTAAATTCGAGAGAGTCTCTTTATTTTTGGAGACAGTTCGAAGCCGAAAGTTAAGAAAAGCGCTAGAGTTTCGTTTCGTCTATGCCAGCACGTACAATTTCGAACGTCAAATTCGAACTCAAAAGTTTTATTCATCTAAAAATACCAGCAATATGAAGGTTTCGAGGCAAGTTACTTTTCGAGTCATCGATTGATAAAAGTTGTGGCTGTAACCATGTCCATTGCGTATAGTGTTCAGCGATCCAGAATGTAAATAAGTAAAGCGTACGGCTTAACTAATGCATAGTACCATGGCTTATATTAATGTTTTATCACATTCGACTGTTTTCTGTAGCTGGGCATTATGGGCATTTGTTAGTCGGTTCTTCGCTTTGGTTTTGGATATGTTGATTAACGTGTTATGACGTACACGGTGAATGAAGTATTAAGGATGCTAACAGTTCAGTCAACGCCAAAGGACCCATTCTACCAGAATCGCAACGGCGAGAATATCCGTAGTCGTTTTAGTTTTCCGTCTTTGTAGTCCAAGTGATGACGTACTGAAACCTACCCTTAAAGGCCAACGATCACAATAAAACCCAACATAGCTTGTTTTGCCTGGCTTTCATCATGTCGTTGCTGCCCTTGACGACGAAGTCGGCGGCATCCCGACTAAGAAGCTTGGTTTTTGCTGCTTCCCACCTAAGTTGAACCTAAAATTTGTTTTTGAGGACACTTGAAGATGCTTTGCAATAATGATCTAGTTAGACGAGAAATAAAATAGTAGAATGAAGAAGTCTGCTGAATCTAGTTCGATAGATTAGTTCTAGTACTGCCAATCTATATTGATGACCGTAAGGTCTATACAAATTGTCCGTCTGGAAGTTTTGCAGTGCTCTAAAACGTGCGATTTAGATTTCTTAACTCTATTTTGATTGACGCTATAAAGTGCTATTATCCAAAGTCGAATTCTAATTTGTGCGGTATTTTCCGGATGTCCAAATTAGAAAACCTCCACAGCTACTCATAACTTGTCGTTAATATCTGCAGGATATGAGCCAGGATACTATGGTAACACCTACAGCTCTTGACGACGTGCTGCAGGATCGATCACAGTCAGTGCTGAGTTCAGACTCGGATTCCATTCAAGAACGCTCTGGAATGGGCCGAAAACGGCCGCGCCCCACAGATACGAAGGATTCGGACCGACTGAAGTTGTCAATGAAGTCAAAGTCCTCATCTCTTCCTCTGGCGGCTGCACGAGTAAGCAACCGTAAACGCATTAAGAAGACTCATGGGCCCGATTGGCAGACAGATATATTGCACCTCGAGTGTAAGGTACAGCTGAGCACATGTGCCGTTTGCAGGTCAAAGGACGTTAGTGGGAATTTTCTCGCGTGCTCTGCCTGCAAAGTCCATGGTAAGTGAAGAGTAAGCTCTGGCAAGATCGACTGTGTACAATTTGATCTGAAACATTTTTTAAAAGAAAATCATAGGCGATTTACTGCCTCATAAAATGGATGCTAACGACTACTTTAAATCCACTTTGTATTCCTTCATTTATGTCTATGTATCAAATTTGCAGTGCACGCCCGATGCCTCCAGTTGACGGAGCGGTCGGTGGCGAAAATATCCGCAAACAAGCAGTTCTATTGTCTTCGATGCAAGCCGTGCAAGCTTTGCCACTACGCATTGGAGGTATCGGAACGAGACCGGGGGCAAAATACGCTGTCGCTCGCATCGATTATGGAAGGCGGAGATATGATCCATTGTTGTCAATGTTATTCGGTATTTCATCTTGGCTGCCTTAGGCCAGCGCTTCCTGCTAAGCCCAAGGGTCAGCCGTGGATGTGCCGCAAGTGTAGCTATGAGGCTAACAAAAAGGAAAAACTTAAAGGTAAGTCTTGCTATTTAAGTCGTGAAGACCGGATCATTTACCGTTTACTGTAAAAAAAAAAAAGCATCTTTTCATATTAAATTAATCATAAAGCAGCAGTAATATATGTTTAGAGATTTACATCCCAACAGAGATAACAAAAGAGTTGTCTGTTGAGTACCCAGGCAACCTTTAAGATATAGCTGACAAATCAGGAGTTTCATACGTTTCTCTTCCCCTTCGCCTCAGTAAGCACAAATATCTATTAAGCTTAACTAAGCTACGTTCTGAGGGCATTACCAGTTCATCATTACCCAGTTTTCCTTCGTAAATAACTCTTATATGTTTACAATATTGCCATTATTATCTTACAGCGAATGCGGCTGCTGCTGCTATGCTGATGGTTGCGCAGCAGAGACCGCTGCTGCCCGAAAAACACTCGGAGCGGACGTCTGTTTTGTCGGACAAGGACTCTTTGGATCAGCAGGGAGGGTCAGGGACGGATTCCGATCGGGGTCACGCCACGCCGACCAGCAACCAGTCACCGACTGGCGCCGACGCAACTGCCACAACTGCGAATATCAACGAGAACTCGTCACTTCGCAACGGCCATACGTCTCTGGACACGCAAGCGGCTGCCGCGGCAATGGCAACACTTAGTACTTCTGTGTCACATGTCGGATCGAACGGTAGCCTAGCACCACATAGTAACGGAAGTAGTGCAAGTGCTAGACCAACTCATGAAGCTGACACTTCGGTTACCGGCACTGCGTTGAAAACATCCGTCTCTATGATTCGATCGAAACGGTCGCCGAGTGTTGCGGAGAAAGCGTCTGTTCAAAAGCAACCTGATAATAAGGCCGGGGGAACACTAAGCACAAGCTCAAATTTGGGCACTAGCAATGGTGCTAGCAAAAATGGTTCTGCAACAACTAACGGAGTCGTCACTGGTATAGGGATCGTCACGACGCCAGCTCCAACGACTGGGTCTGTATCAACTAAGAAGAGTACAACCTCAACAACCACTAAGGGCAGCGTTGGTGGAACTGGCAAGACTGGAAGCAACAGCCTGCTCAGCGGCAATGTATCAGCAACTGCTGTAAATAGTGGTAACAAAACAGCATTCAAGAGCACTCATAATAACAATAGTAATAATTGTAACACGAACGGCTCAAGTATTGGTAAAACTGTTACAGCCAACACAAAAGAGGAATCAACGCCGAACGGCCAAACAGGAGCGACGGCAACTGAGAATCGAAAATCCTCAGAGCTTCGTAAGAAACTTTTGGAGATCACAGCTCCACTGGCAATCAGCAATAGTGGCGGTGGTAAGACAGACGAATCGAAACTAGATAAGCCAGATCAAGCAACCCAGGAACAAACTAACAAGATAAAGGTGGAAGAGCAAGGAAGGCAACTCGTATTTATTGCTGGCAAAACTCCGCCGAACACCAAACTTCCGGCAATTCCTACCCTGCCGAGGTATGTTTTAAGGATCGTTTTACTTTGACGATGCTCTCTGGGCAATAAATACATGCTTATGTTATACGTTGGGAATTGTGGATACAAATATGTATAGATAAATTATGGTAGCCATCCTTTTTATGTTACAGTAAAAACTTTTCCATAGTGGTAAAGGATTTGTGCTTTTAGGGTATTAAAAATGATATGCTAAAAGGCTATCAGTGCGTAAAGTACGATCCTCAAGTTCGGGTTTCTTCAAGTGTTTTTTTTTCTGAGATCACTGTACAACAAAGTATTTATTATTATCCACGACTCATGCAATTTCATCTAATAATAACTTAGGCTCCCATAAACGGAACCCGATTGCAAGTCACACCCATCTTGCGACTCGATTATAGTCATTATCGCTTTGTTTCTTTTAATGTGCATTTCAGATGTGAAGTCACTTTCCATATACCAAAACAACTGAGCGTGTCCACTTCTTCCTTAGAGGGTCCTACCTTAACGTCCTTAGCTTGTTCGACTCCCACAACGTTAACCGCCACATCAACCAGTAGTATTCATCATGTTATACCTGCTCCCGTTGGCTCAATGATGAGTCCTGTCTCAGCTTCAAGCCTGGCACCTATTGTAATTACGTCAATTCCAAAAAAACCAGGTGAAGATAACACATTATTGTCTGGTGGTGCGAATTCACTTCTCACTTCAACCGGTCGTCAAAGTGATAACCTCCCACTGGCAGCAAGCCTTTCGCAGATTCAGATTGTGCCAGTCAGTCTGGCAGCTGCCCCTCCAGCGGTGCCAACGGCTACGCATTCAGCCCCATTAGCTTTGCCGCATCCGATGGTGACATCATCACAAACCCCAGAGCCTAAGGTTCTGAGCTCCGGGGCACCGGTCGTTAGAACAGCCAAGCTGTCGCAATATGCGGTGCACTATCCCAACGTATCCGACTGGAGTGCCGACCAGGTAGCTCAGTTCCTTGCAAAGATGGGCTATGAAAAAGAATCAAAAGTTTTTGTCGAGCAGGTATGTCCTTTACGAATTAGCATATGCTTCTTAAGTATTAGTACCTTTGTCTTTTTCAAGTCTATTTCATCAAACAAGTTGATTTAGTTTTGTTCGATATAAATTAGGACTTCAAGAGATGTCGAATGTGAAAGGGCATGTTTTGATTTGTCTGCCATCACGGTCTACGATTGTCCGTGTAGACTATTAGACCGTTTATTTTTTGTCAAAAATTGTATTTGGTATCGCTTTAATCATCACTGCATTTAACCTTTATGCTGTAATAACCATTTTCCTTCTTTTAGATAACTTTCTGTTAGTAGTGGTAGAACCAGGAAATGTCTAAATATTTCAAGCTTTACGTCCGGTACTTCGATCAAGCATTGCTCCAGGCAAGACGGAATGCCTACCGATTATAGACGGCTAACGAATGATCTAATTGACATTGCAGGAAATTGATGGAGCTTCTTTGCTACTGCTTAAGCGAGCCGACGTTCTCAGTACACTCGGCTTGAAGCTTGGACCTGCGGTTAAGATCTTCCGACATATCAGCAATTTACAGGAAGTAGTTGCTCCCTGAGGGTAGGATTGCATAGTGAGATGCAAGGAAGATTTCTCTTTGTCAGTCGACCATTGCACTCCAGTTAGCCTTAGGCCTCCGACCTAATTGTGTCGACGAACATTGCCGTACAGGCCGTTGTTCGTGAATTTTGTGAATAGAAGCTATGCAGCAGCCAGCCGCTTAAGGTCCTTATATGCACACATGAACAATTCTAATAGCTGAGTGGCTTTGTTTTGTTGCGTCACGGCATTGCCCCTTCTATCCTGCGCTTTTCCGGACCACTAGAAAGAAAAAACAAGCAACCATTAGACAGGACGTCATACGTCTGCTGCATGCGGATCAGTGCAATGGAGTCGGTAGAACGAAATTGACGAAGATTATGTAAATTTTTTGGTTAACGCCACCGAAACAGGAATGTTTGGCCTGACGCTTGGTCGCACGTTTCATGTGCATTTCCATACAGAATAAGAAACGCAATGTGAACAACAAGGTTCTACCTTTGTTTTACCGATAAGTTATTATTATGAATGGCGCTGAGTATTAAACATTCTGTACATTGTATATCCCCAGTTACGCTAGAGCATGGCATTTTGATTCGTCTATATAATATATTTTGACTCCGGACGTGAAAAGTCTAAATGGCCTAGGCATATTATTTCCTTTCCACGTTTCACTAGGAAACGCTACTCTCTAATACCTGAAAAGTCATTAGAAGATGATTCTACCAATACACCTAACAAGAACACAGAGCACTTAGGGTTAAATAACAGAGAGTAGTACTTAGATGGACGATTAAGGAAAAGCTCCATTTCAAGCCGAAGCTGGGAGAGTTGTATGGGAAATGTCCTCTCAGTGAGCGAAATAAAGAGATCGGCACAAGGAAAGAGCAAGAGAATAAGCTATTACCGGAATATGCGAATTTCCACTGCAATTGAATTCTTCCTACGCAATGGCTTCAGCAATGGCTACGTTATATTCACAGGCAACATAAAAACGAGGTAGAACGATTATGAGGACGTCTGTAACACTACGAACATAGCACATAACGTACCGTTGGATACACACTGCGAAAAGACTGAAGATCGCTAAAATAACTGGTGGTAATAATGTCAATACCTGAATATTTATTTCATGCGAAGAGAAATGTTCCACGGTGTTTTTTGAGAGTGTAAAAATGCGAACGCCGACGCGAAACACACTCCCGGAGCGATTTCATATTATGTTAGTACATATGTAGACTATAGATGGAGCTATAAATTGTACATGTTGACAGAGCCGTAGTTACCGTCGAACACTGATGATTATCAATTAGTCACCAGTGGATTAAAATGCACGTTCGCAAACCTCTGTTTCGTCATGCAGCTTTTGCTCTTCGTATTAAGTTACTTATTGCCTTACGTCTTTTTACGCGTTGCCTTCGTTGTATTTACGGTCGGCAGTTATGTAGAAAACGTGAACGTTGCGCACACTCATATAAGTATCGTGATGACAGAAAATTCGAATTTGAAGTTACAGTAGGAGGCTAGAGAAATGAGAGGTAAAAATTTATCGACAATAACCCTCGCGATGTAAAGCAAATATGTTTTCATAGAATAAAATGGAGAAGATTGTAAAGAACATGTTTGTTCTCCACTTTGCTCTAACGTATCCAGTCGATTCTCATATTAAGTGCAGCTTTTTTGCTATAAATATATATAGACGATATGGATGTTGAGTTAAGGACGTAAACCGTTCGATGCTCTATTCGAAAACACGATCAATCAGTTCTGCCCTAGGTATAACGATCCCACCGGTGGAAAATCGATGCGATAACGATTAAAATAGTTTGTCGATAGACGAATGTAGAAGTGGACGCCAAACGGTGATCATTGATCATTGTAGTGCATAGTAGAGGTGAACTGTATTCTCTACGTGTATTGTATCACTGTTGAGGTTGTACATATCGCAAATAAGCTGATCTATATAATGATATATAAACTATATGATGAAAAAAAAAGATGAATTCGTTTATGCGAACACTGTCACGGGAGAAATTAGTTAAACTGATACGCTAAATAAGGCGGTAATGAAATTATTAATATTTTATTATAAGTATCGTATTATAATTCTGTCATTAAGGTGATCGATCACCAGCGTCGAGCGTCAATAAAGTGACACCCGAGAGCCAACAAGGAGATGAAAGATGTATTTATTTCGTAATGGTACAATATGCGATTTGTACCTAAAAACACTATAGAAAATAGAACGCTCTAACGGGAATGATCACAATTATTAGCTACAGAACGCAGAATGCAAACGCAAACAACCTGAATCGCGCTCGAATTTAGCGGGTCATCGTGTCGATCTGGTAATTTTTAAAGTTGGCCATATCTGATGCGGAGCTTCAAGAGCGGCAGTGAATATAATGTGGTGAACTTCACGCCAGTGCTAAGAAAACAAATGCTCTGAACCGATAAAAAAACATAATAGAAAGCTGCACTTGTTCGTATCGATAACGACCTTTATCGCGAATAGCAGCTTCATTTAAATGAACACGCTTTCGCGGACGTGCACGTTGTTGTAAACGAAACAAATAAAAAATAGTAAATATGATAATACGAATTATTATAGGTAATATAATGCTATCAGTTAAAAATAATAGTTGTAGCGGTAATAACGACGATAATATAAATCAGTAAAAATAAAGTGTTCGTGTCATTTTCTGGATCAAAGCTGGATCTTGTTTCTCAAATGTTAGCTCTAATAAATCCAAAATCGAACGATTGTAAACAGGACAGTAAGAGACGCAATGACAAATTAGACGTCTCTCCTCACCTATTGCCCTTGCGTATTTTTGATATAGCATATTGCTGTTCCAAGCGAAACGTCTTTTAATTTGAACGCTTTCGAGTTCAATTCAAAGCGGTCTAAGAAAGTCAATCGTTGCGCGACCCTTGAAACACAGGTGGAACCATAAACCAAAGTAGCGGTACAATACATTGTATTGGTGAGTTTTGGCATTCGTGATGGCGCAGGTTCGAATCGGGCCGTAGACACACTTCGTCTCTTTCTAGCAGTCAGCAGTCTAAAACAACGTTTAGCGGCATTGACACCACACGGCAGCATACGAAAGAAAAACAGGTTAGCCAGATGCTGAACAACCGACGGTGGAAATAGTATCATTCCCCTTCCTCTTTTTTCATTTTACCTTCATTCGAAGCTGATCACAATTTGACGCGGCTATGTGGTTAAGCAATATATTCCAAGCGCGCACAAATTTAAATTTTCTTCAGAGGAGCGGCCTTCGTCCACTAGCAGCTGCAAATAGCGTAACTGAATGAGATGACTCGTGTAATTTTTAGAGGAATATATCGAATCCGTTGCTAGTTGAAATTCTCGTTAAAGGCGTGATTATAGAGTGCGTAATAATTTGTTGCATAGACACATTTCGATGATTCGTTGTTACTGCGATCTCAGTTAGATCTGACGTTTCGCTCCGTTCCCTTAACTGCATTATTACATAACCTAACGGTGGAAAGTCTATCTATTTTTGCCACTCAGCCGTGCAGCAACCCTGCACTTACCTTATGACCAGTGGCCAGTTTGAACACCTTTACGTCGTACGAAAGCATCATTATTATTATTTACTGAGTAGCAATGAAAAAGTACGTCCTACCGTAGCAGGAATGAGCTATAAGTTATTTGTATCGGTGATTCGGCCAAGCTGGATAATTGGTCCACAACGTACGGGTTGATTATCGATTACCTAGGTAAAAGTGGGCTTTGTCGAAACTAATCTCCTGCTTTGCGTATTGCTCCGTCGCGCAGCTGGATAGGCATCGACGTGTCATGGCAACGACGACAGTTATTAGTAATTAATTCAGCGGGCAAATCGAGTGAACAATGGCAGCTAGCCGATGAAAACAGTGCGAGAAAATTGACACCTCTGTGTAATAGATATATTTCGATAATTAGGCTGAATTGAACCAGGCCGCTATAATTGCTTCCATGTTTGCTAATCGATTGGCTAGCGACACTAACGGCAGCAATACGAGTTTCATACACGATAATCCCAAGCTTATATATACAGTAGTGATAACAATAGACGTTAATTGCTGATTCTTATTTCAAATTCACCGAGAGCAGTTAGCAGTAGGCAATTCTCGATCTGATCATAATCCATAGGTAGCCGATACGAACATGCGCCAACCGCTTGGCGTGATCCTGAGCGGAGGTAACATACGTCTGATAGCCTAACAGATGCTTGATAGACCCTCTGAAGCGGTACTTAGCAACGGTACTGTTACGACGTAAAATTGAAGAATGTAGGCTACGGAGACTGAAATATGCCTTCAAGAGTTCTTGTTATTGATAAACTATAATAGGAATTGTGATATGAGCCACGAATAGGCTTTATCGAAAGTTATCTTCTTAAAAATATCCAGCCGAAGCTATAATGATCGCGAATTATCTCCTGTATTTGTCATAATGAGCTTTGATTTATATCAACGACGCCCGCAAAGCAGGATCTGTCGGATAAAACGACGATAGCAAGCGGCGTTCCGGTAATTTTTCCCACGAATGGATATCATTCCCGATTACACAGCAATCGTTCATTGATTTAAAACACGCCTATCACAGACTTATTTATTTGATATAATTAAAATCCAATCGGGGTGTTCTTGATGAATGGTTGAGCGCTTACCTAATTGCAAACTCGACATCCTGCTGTAAAGCCAGTGCCACATCGCTTTCGAACACCTTCTAAACACGTATGCTAAATAACTTCCTATAGCCTGTCGTAAGTTCAGAAGAGTTAACACACAGATGTTTAAGAGAAAGCTCGAATACCGTCTACACTCGTCAGACGTTGCTGAATGTTGGGTTTATGGTTTCCACAATTCCAGCTAATCAAATCTCCTGTAAGGATAACAAACGTCTTAACATACGACAAACTATATTTTGTCTATCACTGATCGCCGTTATCGTTAAATAAACGACAAAGCGATTAACAAAGAAATAATTAGCAAGGCTGTATTACGTGAAGGGCAGTTGTAAAAGTCTTTTTAAAGGGTTAGCGATTTATTATGAACTCGATGTTTCCGACGTTCTATAAAGCAGTGTGCTTCGAAATGCAAAACTTTGATTAATCATTCGTCTAGTATACGAGAGATTTTAAGTGCCACCCGAAAGCACACGGCGCTCAGAATGTACCGTAGTTTTATGGGAAAGTAAGGAACGCTTGACGGTTTCAGGGGTAGCGATCCATGCAATCCATAGATACGTATTTAGCTAATGTTGTTTAGCTTAAAATAGGAACGAACGAGTAATATATAGAGTAATACAGCAAGAAAAACATAACTTACGAAACGCTACATTTTGAATAGAATCACACCGATTACTTAACATTTCCAACCAGAGTTTGACGTTCTCTGGGACAAATCGTGTAAAGTGAACGTCTCTGTTCGAATGTATACGTACAGAACGAGGAGTAACTATAAATTGTGCCAATGCTTATTTCTAAAACTGTTATAAAATTACCGTATGAAAAAAAAAAATATATATATATGGGGGATTCATATCGACGGGCGAAGTCTCCAGTTTATTGATAGCTTACAATAAATAAAGTATTTTTTTAAATTTTCTAGTAAACCTAACCAAACCAAGTTAATTCAGTGCTACCGAGTTTGGAACTAATAGCTAGTAAGCGGACCTAGCTTTTATGTAGAAATGGATACAGAACCGAGCTATACGGTAATGAGAGCGCCCGCGCGTTAAACATGCTGCTATATTGGTTTCATTCATCGTAAATGGCATAAAACGAAAAAAAAAAACCTACGACAAGCATATGCCACTACAATCTGCATCAACGAGGATTTTCCCTTTCTCGTCAGAACAGCTTGGTTTTTCCTATGAACCGACCGCAATCAACTGTCGATTTTCTGGAGACTGTTGTTTTATTCGAGTTTATATGGTACATCGTACGTACTTTAATTTGTGTACATTAAAAGATGGACAAAACTGTATCACTGTGTGTACGTATTGTATAGAAAAAGTTTTTGGACGGTAAAAATACACCACTATTATCGTACAGCAAATTGCAAAAAAAAACAAATATATATGTAGCCTCGGTAAAGGCATGTACCAACAGCAGCTACCTTAACACATTGCACTCAAGGTCAGGTCAGCAGAATCATTACTTTAACATTCAGTAGTTAGCTTCACCACGTCACTTCATTATGAAATCAATACAGGAGATCGACGCCGAAGAGGCAGAAATAAACATATCACTTCGAATTATTGAAGCCTGGCTCTCGTATTACTCGAAATCAGACAGATATCGTGACAGAAACACACCAAAACCAACGGCTTTCAAACTTAATTTATGGCAATTATATTGATAAATATATATTTCATTACGATTATTCAAAGGTGTACGCCCCCCGATGTGATCGCGGAGGCGGCTATGAGAATATGTTGTAAGCTATATAGTTTGGACAAGGAGGGTGCGTTGAACCAAACAAGATTTAGATAAGCTATGCCAATACACTTCAACGTAATATAGTGAAATCAACGTGGTATAGCCATTGTTAGGTCATAAATACATAATAATAATAATGAACCATTTTGATCGATTCGAATAAATATGCCGCTTTTATTTGGATAGATATTTTTTTTCTGAAAAACGAAACTCAATCAATATTTTTCGAGAATTATTTCACCTTAAGGCAACATTGAACATGAAATTAGAGAATAATGTTTAGCTAAGCCTACCAGGTCCGAAAGGAAGGGCGGTTTGTGCCTGATTAATAATGTACCTCAGGTCTACATTGGCACTTCGGAACTATCATTCTATAGCATCAACTGTACGCCATATAATAAGGTTAGCGAATGCGTTTTTGTAGAAGGCAGTTAGAGGGGAATGAATATAATTTTCATCAAATTGCAAAGAAAACGTGTGCGTGGAACATATCGACTAAATTAAATTTTTTTTGTCTAGTTTAACGTGATAGACATTGATGGGTCAATATGGAATGCAGACAACATTTTATGTTAGAAACCTCGTGACCCATTCCATACCATTTACATATCTCTAATTATGGGTCGAAGACTCCACAACCCATCGGAGCGGTGTCGTCTGCATCCATTTCAAAACTCTCTCTAGGGAGGCCCAAACCAATCACGATGAGGAGCTAATATCAAATTAGCTCACTTATTTGAAAACCTAAACGGTGCATGGCCACAAAGAATATACGTCAGGAACAGCGAATAGCGGATTCAGAAATCGGTGCCTCCGTTAAATACAGCGCAATTCCATAAAATAACCATTTCCTTTTTTTTCAATACGCGCAATGGTCGTACTCAGAGTTCGATGTCATTAGCGACTCTGCAACCGTGTCGTCACTAATACGCGCTCTCTCTCTAACCATGCACTTGCCGCTTGGGCGCATTATTCGACGCCCAGATATACAGAAGGAGGAAAAAAGCCTCTTGCCGCTTTAAAAAATCATTTAACTGATCGATATTGTTTGTTTATATCATACACACATATAAGACGTCCTAGAAGGACACATTCACTACCAACTGATTAGATGATCTTTGCCTGACAATGCAGCGACTGTTAAAATTACTACAGGAACTTGCTTTGCCACTTATTCAAGAGAATTTACATGCTCTAATTTTAATGCAAGAGCATAAGATTCTCGAGGAAGCGCTTTTGAGTAGATGGATACTTTCCTGCCAGTAGGAATGCCTTAAAAATAATGTCTACGCCAGAAAGCGGATCAACAACAACATAGTTATTCGCAGTTTACTGAGCGGAACTGTAATAATTTCCGTAAAGGAACTATGTAAGTTTTTGCATGTTGACTTTTAATTATGTGTAAATAAACAAACCGTGCATATATATATATATTACGGTGAAGATATAAAATGTCAAATAACTCTTTTAAAAACGACAAGGACGTTTTTGATTCCACAATATCTATATATAAAAGAGAGGGAAATTTTCAGTTGAAGTCTGGCTAGTGTATTTTTTTTGCATATATACGAAGTATGCACGCATTATAAAACGATAAGATGTGTACTTGTTTTCTTTACACTTACTTAGAAATTTGGTCGAGAAACGCCGAGTTCGCAAGAATATGGCAAATCGCTGTAATACATGAAAATCACAAACAGATCTGGCATCTTTAGTTAGAAATTTATTTATAAATTGATAACGCACTCGTGGTTTGTTGCGGCGCATAATGTTCAATGGAGTAAGTTGATCTAACTATTAAAACTACTCGTCAAACATTTAATTAAAGCATAGGCTCTATAGGGTTAAAAATCATCTGATATTAAAGGAGGAAAATATAAGGGACTTGAGAATTACGTAGTTTATGGATGCAAGACAATTGGATATTGACCAGATATCATCGAAGTGTATGAAAAAGCGATTCCACGTAATGGTCCGACATAACAGACAGCACATTAAATATCGCGCTTATGATTCATCGGTCGTCCTGAAGCATATAAACTCATGGTGCACAAATGATTGAGACTCACCAAATTGTAAGCAGACTATGATTCTGAATAAGAAGCCTTTCAACATGTATCTATGCCTTCCAAAAGCAACAGGCTCAACTTTCCTGCTTACTACATTGTCCTCAGCTATATATATAAAAATACGAAACTTTCAACAGCTGTTGTGTTTGAATTATTGAACAGGTCATTTCTTAACACCATTATTAAGGACACGCGTTTAGCATGAAAATAACTACTGCTTCTAAGAGGGCGTGTACATACAAATGTTTTTTGTTTACATACATAT